ATTGTACTGCCTAGTTTAGTTGAGGACAATCAGAGTGCATTTGTGCAAAATCGTCTTATTTTACACAACATTCTATTAACTCAGGAATTAATTAGGCATTATGGGAGAAAAGGGATAAGTGGAAGGGTTTGAATGAAAATAGATATTAAAAAAGCTTATGATTCTGTTGAGTGGGGGTTTATAGGTGAGATATTAGATGGGTATGGTTTCCCTGAAGTCTTTCGTGACTGGATTTTGGCCTGTGTTATGTCTACATCCTACTCTGTGTCTATCAATGGTAGTTGCTCGAGTTTTTTTTTATGGTAAGAGGGGCTTGCAACAGGGTGATCCAGTTTCGCCATTGTTGTTTGTCCTTGTCATGGAGTATCTTAACAGGAGCTTTAGGAGGATTACCAACCAACCATGGTTTAAGTTTCAACCATTGTTTGCTTCTCTCAGAATCTCTAATATCTGCTTTGCAGATGACCTAATGGTCTTCTGTAAAGCAGACATGAGAACCATTGAAGGAATCAAGACTATGTTGGAAGAGTTTGCTCGGGTCACTGGGTTGGAAGCAAATGCACAGAAGTCTGAACTTTAATTTGGAGGGTTAAAAGACCACCGACAAAAAGAAATATGTGAGCTGACAGGACTCAAAAAAGGTACGTTTCCCATGAAATACCTTGGCATTTCTACGTCTCCCAGGAAATGGTCAAAAATTGAGTGTCAGGAAATCCTTAATAGAATGGTGGCTAGAATAAGGTCTTAGAGCTCTAGACACCTGTTATATGCTGGCAGGTTGCAGCTCATTAATTAAGTATTATTATCTTTGCATGTGTATTGGGGCTCCGTTTTTATCCTGCCACCAAGTGTATCATCTGCGGTTAATCGGGTATGTAGGGAGTTTTTGTGGGCAAGTAAAAGTAGTGGAAAAACTATACAATTAGTCAATTGGGATGATGTGTGTAGAAAAAAATCAGAAGGAGGCCTGGGTATAATGGATGTTAGAGTATGGAATAGAGCTACCATTCTTAAAAAGGTTTGGAGGCTAGCAGTAAAAGCTGATAGTTTGTGGATCAAATGCATCCATTCTGTATACTTAGCAAAGACTAACCTGTGGGATGCTCAACCAAAATTGGACAGCAGTTGGCATTGGAAGCAGATCTTAAAAACCAGAGATCTTGCTAAGGAAGGGTTTGATGGTATTAGGTGGAAAGCTGCTGCCAATGGTAGGTATTCTGTGAGTTCTGGATATGATTGGTTGCAGTGTAGGAATGAAAAATGGTTAGGATCCTCCTATGTATGGTCATCCTTGATTTTACCAAAGCATTCCTTCATCAGTTGGCTGGTGTGGAGGCGCAGAATACTGACAAGAGAGAGACTGAAGAATATGGCTATCCCTGTGGTAGATAGTTGCTGTCTGCTCTATTTAGCAGAGGAAGAAACAGTATGTCATCTATTTTATTTTTTGCATGCTATTATGCCTATAATGTATTACAGCAAGTGCAGGGTTGGCTGGGGAATAGAAGGTTGGAGAGAAGAATAGAAAGATGGCAATCTCAGATCATGCAGTTTTGGAAAGGAGCTAGGATGAAGAGATCCATACTCTGGGCTGCTGTAAATGCAGTGATATATCATGTGTGGGAGGAGCGTAACAGGAGAATTTTCACAGGTGTTTCCAGGCAGACAGAGGAGGTATTGAACACAGTGCAATATGAGATTAAAGTTAGATTGTTACAAAGACAGAGTCGACCATGGAATGACATTGAAAAAAGCATATTGATAAAGTATGCTTTAGTCTAGTGTCAGTTGTAGATGGATGTACATACTTAGACTAGGTGAGTAGATAGTTATTAAGGCTGTGTAATGGTGACAATTGTATGAGTTTCTTTTGCTCAATCTTTTAATTTGACTTAACCTTTCACCAATAAAAAAAAAAATACAACGAATGTGAAATTATATTTTTAAGGATTTTTCGTCAATTAGAAATGCGTATTAGGTGAAATCTAGGACGAAATCAAAATGTCTTATATTACGGGGACCGGAGAGAGTATGATGTATTTTCAATTTTTTCATACTATCCTTTGCTGATGACATTACACTACGTGATTTGATGTGGGTCATTCTTTTTCCCCTTATTCTCGTACGCACTGGTCAATTGGGTTTTTGCTATATTGTCAACATATGGATAAAAATAATTCAGTGGATCAGTAGAACAGCTGCAGATTCATGTTCCGTTCCATATTGCTGGTGTATATATAGTAGGTTAATAAAAACAAAATAGTTTAATTTGATCATGGATTGTTTTGACTAACTACGTATACCTATATTTATTTGTATTTATTTTTTATCTGTTATTCGTGTTTGTCATCTTTTTTTCTATATACTTTTTTTTTAAAAAAAAAGAAAGAGAAAGAAGTAAGAATTCCATTGTTTTTTTAGGCGAATAAATCTAGTTGTTTGCTAAAAGCCCCAATAAGCAGAATATTCCATATAAATTAGTCAGCAACATATATTCAAAACACGCGGTATTCATAACTACCAAACTTATAAATTAACAACAGCACGGCCTTAATTTTAAACTTACGCACTAGCTCCTTAGTTTGTTTTAAAAATTTCCCACTCAAATCGCTTTGTTACGCTAATATAAACTTCTTGTTCCCACCAACAAAAATTAAATCAAACTAGGCCTGTCGGTGTTGAGGAACCAAATCTAGGGAAAATTCCCATTACCCTGTAATGAGGAAAATCACCTCGGGGCTGCCTTCAACGAGGAAAACATACTCGGGGCACAAACTGGAAAATACCTTAGGGGCAAGGAACTTGAGGGATCATCCTAACATCTTCTGCTTGAACAGATATTTCTCATAATCATCCTATTATTATTTGTCATTACATTATTGCATTATATATTGCATATCGAACATCCAAACCTATAGGGGTCCTCCCTTCAAATAAGGAAATCTAGGCGTCATTCTCCCAATTCAGCAACTAGGCGCCATCCTCCTTATTCGGCATACAGGCTTCCCCCTAATAAACAGGAATTCACTCGCGCGACCAGTTTGTATTTTGCATTATTATGCTCTGTTTGTGTCCGAAAAATTCTGTAATGGTGAATATTATTTTGAAACTCTATCAATTAATATATAATTACGAAACTCTATCAATTAATTAATATGTAATTATTTGTTAAGGAATTTGATTTGAGCCTCTATCTCTTGAATTGTATATTATTAATTGAATGGTGATATATGATACAAAGTTACCGATAAACACTCATATTTGATTATTGAATTTGGTTGTACTTCAACATATATAATCCTAGAAGTACTAATCTATCAAAAATACTGTTGCAAAATAATCTCCTGCTTTGCTGAGAACTTCCTTCTTGTGATTTGTCATGGTCATAATTTTGATCTACCAAAATTGCATCATTTATCGCTTTTATCTACAAAAACTGAAACCAATGTATCTTATTGACATTGGTCATAATTTTATTTCTTTCTTTTTTTATCTACAGACCCCATTATATTTCTTAGACAGAATGAAATATAGTTTAACAAATTCAAAACCACAGCCCCATAAACCTTAAAAATCTGTGCAAAAAAAAAGTAAGCAAATGCTTAATTAGTACATTCAATTTTTCCAGAAAAACAGACCAAAAGAGATAAATAAAAATTAGTTCCTCACAAATCCTAGTATAAAAATGTCTCTAAGTTTGTTGGAAAGCTTCCATCGATCAATGCGTCCATTATTAACCCGTCGGAAACTTGTAAACCCAAAATCTGCAAAAGCCACTTATATTTCAATGAGGGGTGCTTCCCCAAAAAAAATTCTCTGGACAAAGAGTAGACATATCTAGGCTCCCCTGCAGCAGGTAGAGATTTTCTAGGCATATCGAATTCTGAAAATCCGATTTCTTAATTGAATTAGTAAGTCGGATTCCGAAAATCCGATTTTACATTATCTATTACAATATTATTTTTCTGTAATTTCAAAAAGACAGAAAATAAAAAACCAAAATCGGATTTCAAGTATCCGATTTTATGAAACCCTTACAAAATAAATAAACAACCAAATCGAACTTTCAGCTGTTATGCGCGGGAAAAATTTGAATGTAATCGGTTTCTACAAATCTGATTTTTATTTATTATGGTAGATGGAGTTGGGAGAAAGTAATAAATACTAACAGATTCCAAAAATCCGACTTAATTAAAATTGGATTCTAACTGTCAAATCGTATTTCTGAAATCTGACTAAGGTTTAAAAACGGATTTTGTCTTTTCCGTTTTATTTTGAAATCGGATTTCGGGAATCCGGTTTGTTTTTATTATAAAAGAGTGGAAAACGGGTTTCACTGTTCACAAAACGAAATTTTTGTTGGGTTTTTTTGTTCAAGAGGGTTCTTTGGGTGGTGAATTGGGAATTTTATCCAAAGATTATTGGAAGTAAAGTCTTGAATCGTCATCAAAAGGAAGTGACTGATGATTCTTATGGTTTTTGAATAGAATGAGTGATGTTTTATATGAGAACCATTGTTTATAGACTAAGAAAATTTTGATTTCTTGCCATTTTGTACACGAAATGTGATGTTTTATGCGAAATGTTATGGTTGATTTGAGAATGTATGGATATGCACGTGTGTTGAAGATGATGAATTTAAAACTGTGTATTTTTGAGATTTTAGTCTCTATAATGGTTAATATATTGTTGTGGATAAATAAGGATGTTGTGTAAAACCATTGTTGATTAGTTTGAGTTCAGGGTTTAATTAGGTGTTGTTTATTTACAATGCATTGTTGAATTGTAGGAGGTTAGGGTTTAGCATGTTGTTTCTTTGTATTTAGGGTTTAGGTTTATTCGGTTAAAATTATTCATAAGATTTGACAAATGATTGTTTGTTTAATCAACAGATGTAAATTTCGTTTAACGGCCCATACATTCTGAATGTGTTTTGGACGAGTAAATTTGTTATAGAGAATGTCGTTATTAATACTTTTAATAACTTGACAGTTGCATCTATGATGATTGAGCGTAGATTGTCTTACAATGAATTGGTTGGGAGGATTTGTGAAAGAGCTGGGTGGGATGAAGAGATTGAGAAATTGAACATGTCACTATTGTTTGATAGTAGTGGTAACGGGTCAAGGTGTTACGCTACAATCAAGGACGAACCATCATTAGAATTCTTTTATTTTCCTTCTGGAAGTGTATCGTTGGATTTGTATGTGGATACATAGGATATTACTCACTCTGAGAGGGCATGGAACCCGACAGGCAAGGCGCATGGTAGTGTTTCACGCCAAATAAGGACAAGTACTTCTCGGTCCAATGATGAAGCGGGACTAGTCGGGATTGGTCGTTGTTTCAAAATCTGGCTAATGAGCATTGTATGGAAGACCACAGTGATCCGGGCTATGAGGACCCGGCTAATGAGGATTTTGTGTATTACAGTAATCCGAATGATTTGGACTACACATTAGGGAGTGATGAAAGCGAGGAAGGGCGTTCAGTGTCTTCAGAAAGTGATGATAGTGGTTATGAATCCAAGGAGTTTGACGAAGAACAAGTAGTAACTTCCGTACCAAGGCGGCACATATATAGTGAAATGGGCAAATGGGATCCGTCCATTGTTGACAGAGATGAATTCAATCTTCCTAAGTGGGATTGGACACCCGATTCCATAAAGTTGGCACTTGCTTCAAAAGTAAGAAAGAAGTGCAAGATGCTATTAAGGCGTGGAGTGTTTCAAGACAGATCGAGTATATGGTTAACGATAGTGACGAGGGAACGTGGGCTGTGGAGTGCAAATCTTTAAAACGCCCTCCTGTTGAAGGTTGCACTCCATGTTTGTGGCAGATGCCTGCCTCGTTGAAGGACCACGAGTTGTGGGAAATGGTGACATGGAGCAATTCACACAATTGTTTGAATGCCACCAAAAAGAATAATCATCGGAATGTGAGTGCTTCATTCATTGCTCAACTCATCAGGCATAAGGTTAAAGTCGACATGGATTATAGTGTCGCGTCAGTTCAAGCCCATGTGAAAGAGATGTTAGATGTGGATGTTAATTACAAGCGGCCATGGTGCAGAAGGCAAAAAGCGATCGAGCTTGTTGCTGGCGATTGGGTCTCAAATTTTGTGGATCTTCCAAGGTATTTTTTTTTAAAATTTTTTTTTTTGTGTTAATGCGTATTTTAGTTTGTTAAGATTGTTTGGTTGTGTGTCATTGATTACATTCTGTTTAGTTTATCGTTTAGAGACTTCGCACCACATGTAAAGAGCAATCCGGGCATAGTGGTAAAGTGGGAGTGGCAAAAAGATTGGATCCAGAAAGAAAGGACATTCAAATATATCTTTTGGGCATTTAAACTTGCTATGTATGCATTTTGGAAATGCCCCCCGGTTGTTAGTATTGACGGTACGCACTTGCGTGGAGACTACAAGGGGAAGTTACTTGCCGCGATGGTCAAGACCGCGAATGGTAGATGAGGAGACCGAGGAAAGTTGGACGTTCTTCTTGAAACATTTGAGACACTGGGTCATGAATGATAGAGTTGTTTGTATTTTATCCGACCAGCACAAAGGCATCATCACTGCGATGACCCATATGGAAGAATGGAAAAAACTTGGTGAAGCATATCATAGGTTTTGTCTTCGACACATCCGCAGCAACTTGGTAGCTACATTCAAAAGCAAGAGAATCCAGCGGTTGTGTTGGGAAATGGGGAAAAAGCTTTCATTAAGAAAATTTAAAGAACGTAGGTAAGATTTGCGTGAATTCAATGTGAAAGCCCATCGCTATCTTCGGGAAATTGATCTGTGCCAATGGACTCTTGTAAAGGATGGACACCATCGGTGGGGTAATTTGACGGCGAACATATCTGAGAGTTATAACAACGTACTCAAAGGTGTCCGTTTCCTCTGTATTAGAGCATTGGGGGAATCAAGTTTTCACAAGATCGTGCTTTTGTTCCTAAAAGAATATGAAGCATCGTTAAAATGCATCACTCCGGTTGCTACAGAGCTGTGGGAGGACTTTGTGAAATATGAGAAGAGAGCTGCAGGTGACAAGGTTGATAGTTTTCCGAATGCTAAGTTCAAGGTGACAACAAAAATGCGGTTAGGCGGTTAGGGTGGCAACACGCAAACAGTGAGATATCAACAGAAAAAATGTTCTTGCAAGAAGTGGCAAGAATATAGGATGCTTTGCTCACACGCACTAGCTAGTGAATCCACATTATAGGACGGTGACATAGCGTGAACAATTTAGCGATCGGGCAAACTTTACTCCGGTCACTGATGAACAGATCGCAATGAATGCTGGACAGGGGTGGAAGAAAAAAAAAGGCTCAAAATGCAAATGGATTACAAAGGACGCAAATCACGAGGAGAATGTACCCGATGTGACTCCCAAGATCATGTTGCATCTACGTGTCTAAAATCCCACCGCCGAGCTGATAGAACCAGAATCAATATCAATTGGGATGCAGATGGTGTCATTGGTGACTAGTTATGCATTAGTTATTGTCAAATTTCGGTTGTTGTGGTTGTTTTCGTTATATTAGTTATTGTTATACTTTAAACTTGTTGTACTAATTCGGACTTTGTTGCGATCTATTCTACGGACATCGTATTAGTCTAAAATTGTTAGTTCTTGTTGTTTGCACTTTATAAAAACAAGAAATGGTGCACATGATAGAGATTTTAGTTGCCCGTTAACTACAAATAAATCGGATCTACAAAATCCAACTAGGGTTTATATTCGGATTATAGAAATCCAACTAGGGTTTAAATCCGGATACGAAAAAAATGGTTATAATTAAATCGGATTTATTTAAGTCCGATACTGGGAATCCGACTTAATCTATAAACGTGTAAGTCGAATTTCTTAATTCCGGTTTTAGGTGAAATTGAATTTCATTTAGAAAGCGGATTTCGACCGAAAATGGAGAATTTGGGCAAACTCTCTGTTTTTATCCGGTTACTAAGAATCCGATATTGTTAAAGTCGGATTTGTGTAATCCGATTTATTCTGTACTATATGTTGTTTGACTGAAACCCTTGACCTCAAATTCTTCTTCTCCCTTTGACTTTCAAAACCCGGCGATGACCCGGTGATAGAACCCATCAATTCACCCGCCGGTTTTGTTCCAATCCAATCCAATCGACTCCCGCCGGCCAAATCCAATCGAATCCCACCGTCCAAATTGAAGCTTCTGTCCGGCGACTCGTCCGATTTGACACGGCCGAACCCTAGCCAACTCCCACTCCCAAATCTGGCGACCAATCCAATCCACCTCCGTCTCGGCGACTCGAAGCAAGAAAAAGGCGTGACATTTGACATCCGTCGTCTCCCGGCGTTGCCTCCTGCCCGGCGTGTCCTCTCCTGGCATTCCCCTCTCATCCTTTCCTGACTGAACCCTCTTTTGTAAGTTGTTATTTTGCATTTTCGGTCTGTTTTGGTTTTGTTGATTCTTGAATAATGTTATGTGTGTTCCAATTTATGGTTTTGAAATTCAACTGGGTTGTTCTCTTTATTTTTTCTTGTTGTAAAAGATAGGTTTTTTTTTGTGGTTTCTCTCCCCCTATTTCTATGATCTCCTAAGTTAACATTACTAGTGTACGTTGTGAGCTTTGTATTGGAAATTATCCATCACTAGTTTAATGTTGCTCAAGTGACTGTGACTGTGAGTACTGTGAAGCATAGCTCTTTCAACATGTTAATAATCGTATTACTTGCATATTTGAAATTTGTTATGATGAAGTGAATACATCTTTGTTAAAGGAAATCAGTTCACTTTTCAGGTTTTTTAAACTGGTCTGCCAAGGTTTAGGTTATGTATGTGCGATGAATTGTCTAATTCGTTAAGTTTGTTAAATTTTATTTATAATTCAAAATTCTCTGACATGAAAATGCCATTTCCTGAGACTGACATTTCGTGAGACCATCAAAACTGTTAATAACCATTGAATAAACTATACTATTCCCCTCAAACTTCCTTTCATTAGAACTTGAGCTTGCTACAATTGTACAAACTGTTTAATGACATTATCTTGTACCAGTTAGGTGGATTTGGTTTATATCTTAGAGGGATATGAATTTATATGTTTGGTCAAGGTTATTTTAAGTACCTAAAGTACCCTTGACCATGCGGTAATAATTGTCTTGGTGGAACGGTGGCGTCCTGAGACCCACACGTTCCACTTCTATTTTGGCGAGGCCACAATTACCCTCATGGATGTTGAGGTGTTGTTTGGGCTCCGCGTGGATGGTCCGGCTGTCTTGGGGAGAACGTATGGCTATGATAGGCCTAAATGGATTGAATATTTCTTCAATATGTGTGGTTTTAGACCTAAGTTAGAAGATTTCAAAGGTAATAAGATATATGCCTCGTCCCTTAAAGAAGAGCTAAAACTTGCACTTCCAAAAAACTTACCTGATGATGATGAAGCTTACGACAAGAGGGCTCAGGTTTTATTTGGTATTTAATGGCTTCCTTCTTGTTCGCGGATAAAAGTTGGAACATGGTAACTATGTGCTATCTGATACAACTCGAGGATTTAGAGTTATGTGGTCAGCTTAGTTGGGGTTCTGTAGTCTTGGCGTATTTGTATAACGGCATGTGAGGCAGCTGAATTTGGCCTTGACGACATGACCGGTTGCAGTGTATTGGCACAAGTATGCTTTGGTGGTTTTATGTTTTTTTTTGTTTTTGTTTCTTTTCTAATTTCAGCTATCGTTATCAAATTTTCTTAAATTTAGTGTTGTTAATTGGTACAGGTTTGGGCTTGGGAACATATTCCAAAGATTCTACCCATCCAGAACATCGTGCCTTTTACTGATATTATAGATCCGAAAGCTCCATTAACTCATAGGTAAAGCATTTGCACGTAATGAATTCTTACATTTATCTTTTAATTTTTTTTCATGTTTCCTATGAGTAACTACATGTATTTTGTGCCCAAACAGGTGGAATTACTCGTTCTCTTATGCGAATGTCCCCAAGGGTTGTTTACCTCCGATCAGGGATCAGTTAGCCCTCATAAGGGATGATGATGTAAGTTCGTTTTCCTATTTTCTCATTGCCAAGTATGATTTTTTAATGTTATTTTTTTGTGATTTTTTTTTCTAAACTAATTCCGCCAATGTTTTTCATTTTATGGAGTTTCTGTTTCTGCATTACACGCCTTTCCTCGAGAAACTTTCCGATTTTTGTAACCAGGGCAGTCATGTTTGGAAAACGAGGTGTTGGATTTTCTTCCGATCTATTAAGGAACCTCATGAGCCCAACCGGGTGGTGCGTTAGTTTAATTGTCGGCAATGTGAAACCCAAAATCCATTGATTCGTTGCGACATTAATGTTCGGAAGCCTTTACAGAAAGACTGTAAAGGGACTGGGAAATTAGGCATGGAATGGAAAGCCTACCATAGTGATGTCAACCCCCATTGGGATAATAGGAGCTCTTATGTGGTAGAAGGTGAAGAAGTAACCGAGGGTCTACCTCCTCAAGCTGTCACTGGCTACCTCCCTTGGTTTCATAAGAAAACTGTGATAGTCATCAGTGATTCGAAGAAGTACGGGTACGGGAGTCAGGGCTACCAGTCAATCTCAGAACGCAAAATATTATATGTAAGTATTTTGATAAATTTTACTTATTTATTAGGAGATTGTATTTATCTTTTATCATTTCAATTAATTTTACCTATATATATTTTTATTACTAATTTGCAATTTCATTTTTGTAGGCGGACACCCTCAACGATATTTACCACATAGTTGATGAGTATCGTACCAAGTATCCGACCAGAGACCGTGAGCTTAATACGATGATTGACTCGGTACTCAGTAGCTCCTTCATTGCCCTCACTATTGGTCCTGACGCTTTGAAAATGGTGTCTAGTAAGAGACTTGTCGAAAACCAACCGACTCTATCCCAACATCCGCTACCCCCTCAAAAGAAAGCTCCCAAAAAGAACATTGGAGGTGGAAGAAAGATACGCATGCCTCGTCCATTACAAACTGACTATGGCCAATCAAGTACGGATTGGAGAATTGTTCCATTTCATGATCCCAAAGAGTCGACGGGGAAGAAGGACAAGAGGAGGAAGAGAGCGACGAAGAAAGCGAGGAAGAGAGCGAAGAAGAGGCTACTCCCCCTCCTAAAGGATCCTCCCAAAAAAAGAAATCACGGCGGATGGGCTCTAGGAAGCGTACAAAAACCAAATTGTATACTCCGCCTTGAATTCTATTGGAAGCGCAACATTTTGTCTTTTATTTTGAACTTGCTTAGGATTTGGATTTTGCCTTGTAATTTGAACTTCTTTAGGGTTTGGAGTTTGAATTTGTAACTCTTCTATGTTTTTAAGACAACTATTATGTTTGAATTAGTATGTGGTTTCGTTTTGTGCTATTTTGTGTTGATTTTCTTGGTAAAATCTGGTTTTTGGCTGTCGGTACAGGTTTGGACTGACTAAAACGAGTCCAGTTTTTTTTTAAGTGTTCTGTTTAAATTCGGATTCTCCAAATCCGACTTTGTAATCAAGGAAAAACTCAGATTATCAAAATCCGTTTTTAGTAAAATCGGACTTTTGTATTCCGAGTTGTAAATTCTTTTTAATTTTCGGAAGTAATTTCAATTTTCTTAATTAAAATAATATTTTATTGTTTAGAATTCGAATTCTTGAAATCCGATTTAATGCCAAAATGTCATTAAGAAATGATTAGTTTCTAATCCAATAAAATTCGAATTTTAGGAATCCGTTTTATATTGAAGTCGGATTTCTCGAATCCGACATGCCTATTTCGGCATCCTCGTCTGTCGATGCCTAGTTCTGTCTTCTCAGGTTTGGGGAATATTTTTTTGGGCAAAAACTCTTTCAATGAGGGAAAAAAAGGCGGATGAAATAAGTAATGCAAATACAATCAAATGGGACACAAAAAATGCCTTGAGTTTGGAGCAAAACCAAATATATTAGTCTAAATGGTAAGTTAATGATGAAATGTGGTCAAAGTAAAGAATGGCATTATCAACTTCATGCAGATTTTTGCTGAAACTATTAGCTACATGAGTAATGGAAAAAAAACAGAATATTCAGCAGCTAAAATCTGTATACCAAAGCCATAAAGCCTTTGCAAGTTCCTTAAGAATACCAGGCAAAAGCCTATATCACGAGCATATCTTTTCATCTAGTAATATATTTCAACCATGAATCTTCTCCACCAATTGAAAAGTTCTCAGAAGCATTAAGGAACTCATTTGATATCCAGCACAATAATTTTCTCAAACCACAAACTGGACTACAGACACCACAAATTCAACTATGATCTCAGTCATTTCACAGAGCAATCAGATGCCATCAGATTAAGCTGAATAAGATTTCATTACACGGAGAAAAGATAACAAAACAGAACAAGTGAGAAGAGTAAGATTTTTGTAACACAACTCCTTACCATAGATACAAGGGATTCCATGAGCAATTGCTGCATATATAGACTGACAGTAGTGGACTGTCCTTGTAAGGAAAGACAACCATGTCCTGCAAGCATATATAAAAGTTATTAATCAAATTTATGAGGGAAGATGACCAGAGTAATGCTAACTTATAAAGATGAAGGCAGCCAAACTTTTGATCCTACACCATCAATTACTCTGGTGTAATTTCTCATTCTAACTCGTTCGGTCATTTGTAGTCATTTCTAACAAAGAATGATATAAAGTAAATAAGCTCAAAATCAACCTCTAAGGTTTAAAGAAATAAAACTTTTTCCTATTTAACAAAAATCAGCACTTGAAGTGCTCTTTTTTTCAACTCAGTTGCAAAATCCATATATCACTATTTTGACTTCGCAGCAAGTTAAACATCAAGGCAGTACAGCAACCAAATCAATAAGTTACTATTTATGCATAGCCTTGTACATATTCCACAAGAGATCACCTAATGCAGCTATTGATAATGGTAAGCATTTTGAGAAATGGAAAACTATATAGCTCATTGTTGGAAACTTAAAAAGCATGCAGAAAAATGTGAGCCAACAATGATGATATCCACAACGAGATAGTCAATGATATATGCTACTAAATTTGGAATGCTACAGAAACACCTGGGATACTGATAATCAGCCATTGCAAGAACATCACAAACTGATGATCCCATCTATTCCTAGTCTAAATGCAACAATGCTAACAGCAATTGCAGTTCACCATATTAGTATAGATAAAAAATTTCAGCAATGATACTTGCCATTCTTCAAAGCCTTGCATACTTGCGGAGCTTAGCTTCTTAATAGCAACCTTCATCCCGGAGCCAAATTTAGACGCTGCAAGAGTCTTCCTGTCAATCCATCAACCACACGATTCAAACAATACCAAACAACTACAATTATCTACCAAAACTGAGTATTACTAATAATGATGCGATGACAACAAAACTAAGAATTAAAACAAAATTCTAATTGAGTAAGGTTAATGTTTCCGACAATAACTTCAATCCAGCAAAGTAAAGAACCCAAATTAAACTAAGATATTGATCATGAATGGAACGCTGAGGAGAAGGTAGAAACAAAACAAGAATCATGAAAGAAGCCATATTAAAAATTAAAAGAAAAACATAAAAGAGAAGCATACAAATTGGAGAGGTTGATTGGAAGGCCGTGGGAATGTTCTCCAATAATAGATATGATCTCCTGCACCAATGACCATAATGTTGATCAGAGCACCTTAGAAAGTCAGCCACAACATCTTCAATATCGTATGCAACCTCCCGCACCTGCGAAATCCAGACTTGAAGCATCGAATCTACTACTTCTCTACCATCTGCAAACATTAAGAAATTTCCCTCGGCTATATTTAAAGAGGAGAGCTTCCCAAGCACAGCAGAGAAATCGCCTACACTCATCCTTAAAGATAGAGTAAGAGATTCTATCTTTGGACGAACCATCCTTAATCCAAAATAAGAAAGAATTTGTTGAATTGCATGAAGATAAATAAAAACATTTGGAAAAAGAGAGTTCAATAGATTGAAGACCACTCTTAAAAATTTTGGACTAACAGCAGAAGAAATTAATTATCGCGGCAACATTACCAGATCAACTCAGTTTAAGCAAACATGGAACTCATGTATAACATTCTTCTGATGTAGGGTTTTGATTCAACTAAAACAGAGAAACAATCAAGCACAGAATTAGTACCAGGCTGAAAAAACTACCTTCAATTGCATCAAAGAATTCCCCAGTGGTCGACACATAAAGCCATGAATGTAAAGAGCACCAAACAAAAAGACCCCCAATGGAAAGAGGCAGTCACGTACAGTGCTGGAGTATGACTCAAGCTTAAGGACAGATGCAAGACCTTTATGAGCATATGGAACGTGATATCCCCTATCTACGTAATTATCGCAGAAAACCTGCAAGCAAGGACGAAAAAACAATTGTAGAATTAGGAACCAGCGGTTGATGATGATTGCGGAGGTAAAGGAGAGTAGGAGACGGCATGGTTACCAAGCGCAAGATTAAGCAACGGTTAAGGCTTTGGTTTTGGCTTGTCCGGCGGGGCCCCAGGTGCCGACATTGTGGGTTATAACTTTGATTGCTAACATCAACCATTATTCTTCTTGATTAGGTGAAGCTAGAACTCGTCCAATTGCTCCTTGTCCAAGAATAATATAGAAGGTCCAGGCGCATCCACAGGATTGGGCATCTGGGTTCCAAGTAATCCATCAAGAGGCTGCAGAGCGAGGAAAATTAGTAGCATTAAAATTAATGATACATAAAGTATGAAAAATAATACCAATAATCAAGTAAAGGAAATAAAGACAAAATCTAGTAGAGAATAGGGACAGGCTTCCATGATTGGAATATTCTTGGCTGAACCGCTGGTAAAGTCATGTCAACCCGGCCAGGGGTGGCAAGATAACCGGAGAAATGCATAGAGATAGCCATGTGAGAAAATTGACGGGAAATAATTAAGATCGGCGGTTGTACGTTAACGAGATTAAGAGACTTGTTTGTTGCTAGTGCATCGTGTACCACGTAGTTAACATTTTATTCTTCTACTATCTACAAATTCTTGACCTCGTCAAACCTTGCAATTTTTCTTCTTTCTTTTTTTTTCTTTTTAAATTTTAAATAGTTGATGGAATAAACATATTTCACTAACTCGATTTTTATTTAGAACAACATGTATATCATTATTTCTTTCACTGCAATTACTAATTCCCATCTTAAGAAAAATAATCCACTTGGTACAACAGTACTTATTAGTAACCATGACTGATCGATACTCAGTCTAATTTTCTGCTATGCACATTTTCGAACTCAAAATTTACTTTAAAAAAAAGAAATGAAAAATCCTTTTGTCACTAGACCAACAGAAATTAACTTTCAATTTACAAAGTTCTCAAGTTCTTATTGATTAATTAACTCCACTTTTTTTTTATTTTTTTCTTTAATACTAAATCACTTTCCGAAGATGCTTTTCACACACCTGTAATGAACATACATTCAATTCTCTTTTCCTTCATTTTTCATAATCTTTGTTTTAAAATCTTAAAAATTGTATTAGGGAATTATCAAATCTGATTCACTTTATCCATTATTATAGTAAAAAAGTGTACAGCAATTTTGTTAGCTTATTCAGCATGAACGTCCTAGTTCCTAGTTTTTTTTTTTTTGAAAAAATACAAATTTTTCATGAATGTCAATCATTTCGGTAAGTGAGAATGTGTTTACATTTTTATGATGACACTACAAACCTCTTATGCTTCTAAATGAATACGTTAATTCTTAATCATCTTAACGCACATAATTTTATCACATCAGTATTACAGTGATCCAACAACCAAATCTCGCCATATACACATTTGTAACAAACGTACCAAATTAGATTGGTATGACTTGTAAGAGATTAAAAATAACAATGTATATATGATTTTGAGCTTCACAGGTCACAGAGTTTGATTTATTTCACTCTGCAAAAAGGGGCGTTAGAAAAGTTATGGAAAAATAACACAGCAAACATGGCAATGATCAATTCCCGCAAGCAACCAACTTCAAATTTGAATCCACCGATGGCAGCAAACGACGACGTTCTTGTTTCCCGCTTTTCTTCTTCTTCAAACATAGAACAAGCAGAATTCGTTCACTAGAGCTTGCAATTTGCAGGAGCTGTTGTTGACCTAGAAAATCATAAGGGGCTTCCAGAATCTTCACGAGGGACCAGGAGCAATACTTGGAGCCTACGGAATGTACCTGGAGATCACGCAAAAAGGATCTTCTTGTAATTATTTGTAGACGGTTAGAATGTAGATTCTAGAATAAGGATCAAGATTGTAAATTGTAGAGAGCAGGTTTT